ATGGAGTTCTGGGTGAACATTTTTCTTTATTCTTGTTTTCTGCATCTGGCTTTTCAGACTTCTCATCAATTAGGTTAACTACTTGACCGGCAATAAATTCCTTTTCTTAGCCTCAGTGGTACCTCTTGTTTTCAACTAAAAGGCTTAACTGATAAAGAATTTGGAAGATTCATCCTGTCCTTGACTTTTCAGTCTTCTTTTCTGACATCCTTCCTGCTGCCCAGACAGAATGAGCAGCTTCCTTAAAGCTAAAGAAAACTATTGCTAATGTGTCCAGTTCAAAGTGAAGAAGATGCCTCATGGTTTTGGTAGAACATATTACTTTTTCTTTTCCTTTTTTTTTTTTTTTTTGTTACTAGGGATTGAATCCAGAGGGGTTCTACCATTGAGCCACACTCCCAACCCTTTTTATGCTTTGTTTTGAGACAGTGTCTCACTAAGTTTCTCAAACTTGTCATCCTCTTGTTTCAGCCTCCCAGGTTGCTGGGATTTCAAACATGCACCACCATGCCTGGCCATATATTACTTGTTAGGTAGAAATTGGTACTAATAATTTTTTCCTGTCCTTTATGGTTAAAATGAGAGATTACACACCCAAGTTAAGTTACCCTGTTTTTCTCTTCTTAAGAAAAATCTCAAGGGCAATTATTTCTCTATCTTTTATCTCTCCCAAAATAGATGTCTCATTCATTTGAATTTTACATTAAATGCTCAACTTGAATACCTCTAATTGAGGCATTAGAGGTAGCAATTAGTGAACAGCTGGCCTCCCAGCTGTTAATTTTTAGTATTTGGGCTGGATGGTTCTGTTATCACCAACTGTTGGATATACACTCATTGGTCAGATGGCAGTCAAAAGCTACTCTGTTTCCTCTAGGATACATTTTCAGGAGTTGTCTGCAGAGATGTGGTGGTTTAGGCAAAGGTTCCCTGGACTGGAGGTCAGGAGTCCTGGCTTGTCATCCCTGCCACAAACACATGTACTTTGGGAAAATAGGAACTCCAGGAAGAAGAAATAATTTTACAAGATGATCCAAAAGTACTTCAAACAGAGTAACTCTGTTTTGCCTTATTTTATGCATTAAGACTACAAAAGATTTCTTTTAGATATAGAAGTGCTACAGCCAAAAATGGCATAAATAAAAAAAAAAGTAAGTAAACCCTAAACACAGGGACTTGAAAACATCACTGAACTTGAAGACAACTACATTCCTTTGTATATTTCAAATTCACACCTTTAGGCTGGGGATATATCTGCAACTTAGTCAGAAAAATAGTAAGGGCTGGGAGATGTAGCTCAATGGTTAAGCACACCTGGATCYAATCCCTAGTACCTAGCATGTTCAAGGGCCTGGATTCAATTTGCAGTACTGCCAAAAAAGAAAAGGAGTGGAGGGGAAGAAATTCTAAGCCAGGTTTGGTGGCACACATCTTGTAACCCTAGCAACTCAGGAGGCTCAGTGTTAGACCACCCCTGGTAACACACACACACACACACACACACACACACACACACACACACACGAAAGAAAAATAAATAAAAAAGAATGAATTAGGGGACTCCTAAACCGTACAAGAGCAGAGAGAGGCACAACTGGATGGGTGATTCTCCTTGGGATACATGCATAGTCTCAGAAGCATGTACACAAGAGTAATTTTTTTTCTGCAGTCTAAATTCTAAAATATTTTAATAAGCAGGTCTCATTGGTCAGGATTCTTGACCCTGACTTTTTGGCTTCCTATAGGGATGCCATATAGCTTGTAACCTGCATAGCTTGGGGGACATCTTTCACATTAGCTACAGTGCCCCACCTTGCCCCATTGAACAAGGGAGTCTGCAGCACCAGATATGTCACCTCTGATCCCCTCTTTTCCTTAAGCCAATTTAGCAGTAAATGATCTACTCTTGCATAAGACAAATGGACTTGCCAACACCAGTCTAATCTAAATTTGTTTCCTTGTTTAGTAAGCTCGTTGAGCACTGATGTGGGCGGAACATCTCCTCTCTCCTTCTAAATCAACATCTCTGGAAAATTTCTGAGCCATGTCAAAGATATAAAAGCTACCTCCCTAACTAAGATCCTGACACTTTTTTTGTTCAGAACCTTCTTGCCTAGGATTTTGCTGCTTTTCTTGTGGATCCCCAGTGTCTCAGCTTATGACATAGGAGAGGCTCTCTGACAGTGGGCAGGACAGGAAGAGAAGGGGAAGGAGGCCAGACACACAGTTACCTGACTATACACACAGTTGGCAAAAGGTTAGAGGTTAAATGGCTGAGGTAAGGTGACAGTTGCACATTACTTGTGGATTTTATTGTTCTTCTTTAAACAAGAATAAACTGAAATTTGCCAAAAAGCAAAGTTCAAATCATTCAAAATTGTTAACCAGTTATTTTATATTCATGGGACAGATTCACCAAATAAGACCCCTTAAATGCAGTCAGTCCTAGCCAGACGTGGTGGTGCACACCTGTAATCCCAGATAATCAGGAGGCTGAGGCAGGAGGCCAGCCTCAACCTCTTAGCAAGACTTTAAGCAACTTAGTCAGAAAAATAGTAAGGGTTGGGAGAGGTTAAGCACCCCTGGATCCAATCCCCAGTACCAAAAAAGAAAAAAGTGCATATAAACACAATGGAGTATTATTCAGCCTTAAAGAATGAAATCATGCCCTTTATAGGAAAATTGATGAAATGGGGGAATATCTTGTTAACTGAAGTCAGACAGACACAGGAGGACAAGTATTGTCTGTGTATTTTCTTATGTGGAAACAATAAAATAAAAAATATGACCTGAAAATAGAAGAGGGACTTTTCAGGGAAGAGGAAGTGGGGGTGGGGGCTGGGGGTTTAGTTAGTAGGGAGGATAGATATGAACAAAGCACACAGTACATGCACGTATGGAAATGACTCATTGAAACTCATTAATTTGTACAATTAATATGCATTTATCATTATTTTTACAAAACTTACTTCAGGGCTAAGTTGTAAGAGCTTCCCTAGCATGTATGAGGCCCTTGGTTGGACCACAAGCACCACACACACACAATCATTACAGATGTAAAGATGAACCTAGGATCTAGATGACGTGTTTATGGATTTTTTTTATACAGATGACAATGGCTGTGTAAGAAATTAGCCCTAATTTAAGAGTTTAAAACAACAAACATTTTATTATTTCCTACAGTTTCTCAGGGTCAGGCTTTGGGTTTGGGGGCTATTGTGATCTCAACACTTGCCTGGAGCTAGAGCATTTCTTCCAAACTCATGGTCTTCTGTTCATATCAGCCTCTCCACAGGTTTCTCATGACATGAAAGTTGGCTTCTCCAGTCTGTGTAATCTGAAAAAACAAGTCAAGCCAGAGGACACCTGACATGGAAGGCACAGTCTTATAACCTAATCTTGRAAGTGAGATGCCATTCTGCTGTGCGTGTGACCTATGGGTCACACAGACCAACTGTGCGCTAGGGTGGAAGGGGACTGACTATACAAAGGCTGGGTTATCCTGGAGACTGTCACATAAGTTATGAAATCTCTGAGGTATTTATATTCTGTTGGAAAAATGTTAAAGAATGATGTGACCATTTAATTAAGTGTATTTACGTTTTGCTGGAAAATACATGTTTTGCAACAACTTACACTTGTGGTGACAAAATTAAAAAAAATCTATCCAAGGGGTATTTTTTTTAATTGGATTTACCTAAGCCTGTGCATCCTAGGCAAGCCCTTTACCACTGAACTATATCCCCAGTCTGTGGGCACATATTAAAAAAAAAAAATCTTTTCATAGTAAAAGAATGTTTGAAAACCAGTGACTTAGACTGCCAGTTAACTCCGTCTTTATAGTATGTCCTTCTTAACATGTTTCTCTGGGTCATTTTTTTTTTTTTTACTTGTAGATGGACACAATAACTTTATTTACTTATATGTAGTACTGAGGATCAAACCAAGCACCTCACACRCTAGGCAAATGCTCTTCCACTGAGCCACAACCCCAGTCTCCTCTGGCTCTTGAACTCCCTCATGTGGTTCATTCATCTTAAAGGCCAAAACCATTGATAAAGATGAGCTTCAAACTGGAATCACAATTTGGGTCCTGGTTTGTGAATGGGAAAGAGTACCTGAAATTCAGATTGCTCCTGAAAATCTGGGGCTTCTGATTATGAGAAGATGAATTARGTTTTATCCCCACCCTGGATACTGGGAACACAGGGTGATGTACCGAGCTACATCTCAACACTTTTGTCTTTTTATTTTGAAATGGGGATYCGCTCAATTTCCCATGCTGGCCTAGTACTCAAGACCCTCCTGCCTCTCTAGTTGCTAGGATTGCAGGGATTCACCCCCAGCCCACTCTTTGCAGRTGGAAAAAGTTTGGCCCTATTTGGATAAACTTTAGTCAAAGTAAAACAATAATTAGCCCCAGGACTGTAGCACAAACTTGTAGTCCCAGCTGCTAGGGAGACAGAGGAAAGAGAATCACAAGTTGAAGGCCAGCTTGGGCTATTTAGGCCGACATCATCTCAAAATAAAATAAGGCTGGGGGTTTTACTCAGTGGTACAGTACTTGCCTAGTATGTGCAAAGCACTGGATTTGATCACCAGTACCTCAATAAAACAAAAATTTATATCCAACCTTTTTAGAATGCTTTATTCAGCTACATAAACACTAAACTTCACAGAGGTAAAATTCTGCAAAGGATTGCAAACTGCCCGTTCAAGCTGAATCTATCAAGTAGAGGACTGAACTATACAAACTTTGTGGATGGATTCTGATTCCTGGAGTCACAGGTAAGGAGTCAGGTCTTAGGATTCTAGCTCCTGAAAATGCTGTAGACCCTTGCCTGAGCAAAAGCGCACCGCAYTCATTAAGGTCCCCAAGCCCTGTTTTTTGTGTGACAGCGGAGGCGCGGAGGCACGGGCACCAAAGAGTGGGCTGGTGGTCAATGGCCCTGGTCCCTAGGGCACTGCGGCTGGCCTCATGCCTCCGCCTCCCACTCGAGCACGCGCGCAGAGCCTGCGGCGTCCAGCCAGCTGCGTCCTGTCGGCCTCTGATGGACTTCACAGCTCCTTTAACCGAAGGACGGACAGGAGTCCTAACTGCACGTGGGCAGCACGGAGAAGGCGGCGTCCGCACGCGCCTCAGGGCGTGCTCGCGAACTTCTGCCTTCCCTCTCCGCGGTCGCTCGGACACGAGGCTGGGTCGAGTCAGGGCATCCCGGGCCGAGGCCAGGCAAGCGCCGGTCGAGCTACGACCAGACGCATACGCAGGCCAGGAGCAGGGAAAGAAGGAGGCCGGCGCGTCCCAGCGGAGCGGGGCGGGGCGGGGCGGGGCRAGCCGGGGCTCCCAGCATGCCGCGCGGYGCCGGCTTCCGGTTGTGGGTGGTGCGGGGGTCGGCGGCTGCCGGAAGCAGGCAGAGCCGGCGCTCGGAGCGCCGCCTGCACTTCCGGGGGCCTCGCTCCTGGCTCTAGAGTTCTCCCGGTAGGCGGCGCGGGAGGGGAAGGAGGTCTGAGGGGCCGGGCCGGGTGGATCCCTTCCCCAATGTGAGCAGTTTCCCGAGCCCCCGTCTGCCGAGAGTGGTGGAGCGGCGGCCGAGAGTGGTGAAGCCGGCGGCCGGGCCGGGAACATGAGGCAGCGTCTCCTCTTTCTGACCAGCCTGGTTCCTTTCGTGTTGGCACCGCGACCTCCGGACGACCCAGGCTTCGGCTCCCGCCAGCGACTCGGTGAGACCCGGGGACGAGCCGGCCTCGGCCGCCGAGGAAGCGAGGGGAGCGGGCCCTGGCAGGTGTTCGGGGGCGGGGTGCKGGCGACGGTGGCGCGTCCCCGGTTTCCAGGGTGGGAAGGGGGTGTGGCGCTRCGTTCCGGGGAGGGTTCCGGTGACGGGCTCCCGGTGGGTCTCCTGTGGGGACGGGGCCCGCTGCAGTGGGCTGCGAGGGCGGCGAGGGTCGGGAGGTGTGGCCTTGCCGAGCAAAAACCGGGAGTGCTGCGCGCCGCTACCGAGGGCGGGGCCCGGAGCTCGCGAGTTCCTCCCGCCCTCCAACCGCGGGCTGGAATCTCTGCCGCGGGAGGCACCGACTGCAGAGGGTTCATTGGCGTTTTCTGACGGAATTTGGGTTTTGGAGTTGGGTTTTGCCCTCATCCTCTGCACGGTCTTATTTACGTTGTAGTTTATTGAAAGCGCTTGGGGAGTAGGCGGAAGCTAAGACCTGCCAAACCAACTGCGAGGCTGCCGCCGTGAATGCTTTTCTAATTTAAGAAGAAATGAGCAGGCATGACCAATCTGATCAGTTTTGAGCCTATAAAATAAAGGGTCCCTATTAGATTTTCTGGAGAGATTGGATTTTAAGGATGGGTGCAAGTGAGCTTATACTGTGTGTTAGGGTCCTTTATGTTTTAAAAGTTAATGCAATACCGGTCCGTTAATTAATAAGAKTGTGAAACGGTATATGTTTTCTTATGTAATGGACAAAAATTAAAATTGTCTGATGGCATTTTCCCTCTGGTACTGGGAATAGAACTCAGGGCCTTACATGTGCTGGGCAAGCCTCCCGCACTGAGCTGACATCCCATCCCCAGATAGGGGTATTAAAGGTGATTAAAGGTGTTGAGTATTCTTACCTAAGTAACTGCCTTGTGGTTGTCTCATTTTGAAATGAATTACAAAGTGACTGTTTAAGAAAAGGCGCAAGGGAGCCAGTTAGGAAGTGCTAAGTCAGTAAAGTTGAAGGAAAATTTTGAAGTGTGGTGGTCAGGATGGACAGGGTAAGGATCTGCTTAATTTTAAGTATAAATTAATGAAAAGGAAAAACGAGTTTTAAGATACTAAAATTATATTCATCTGTCTGACAACTTTTTACTTTTTATTATCATTCTCTTGTTATCAGAAGAAAAAATAAGCATACAATGTAGAGGAAAAAGCATTACTTCTAGACTGATTCTCAGCAACATTTGCACATCATAGGTTTTTTAACCAAGCTGGTTTTTTAATTAGTGCAGACCATCTGCCAGAAAACTGCATAGACTTACCCATTTATTCATCAAATGTTTGAAGCACTCATACTGTCCACRCAGTATTAGGAATGACATCAGAAATACAAAGATCAGAGTATATCCATCTTTAAAAACTGTGGCATAGCCCCGTGTGGTGGTACATATCTGGGAAGTTGAGGCAGGAAAACTGCAAGTTCAAGGCCAGTTTGGGCAACTTAGTRAGACCCTGTCTCAAAATAAAAAGGGCTGGAGATGTAACTCAGTAGTGAAGTGCCTCTCGGTTCACTTCCCAGTACTGAGGGGAGGGAAAACAGATTATAGCATAGCAGAATAGAGACTCATAAAGAGATCTAAACAGACACTTCTAAAACAATGTGGAGGAGAGTGGTGGACACATTATGGCAAATATGATCATGAAGGGGCTACTGAATGCAGTCTAAGAAGGGAAGCAAGGCTTCATGGGGGAGGTGATAGTTGAGCCTAGACTTTAAGGTTAGGTAGGTGAGAAGGGAAAATAAGGGCACTTCTGATGACAGAATAAAAGGTTGTTAGGAATAGAGACTATTATGAACTTTAGAGATTGTGTCTAATTTTTTTTTTAATAGGTTCGAAAAATGGGTCTTAGAAAACTTGTAGGGAATTGTTAGATTTACACATTGATGAACATATATGCCTTGTGGGCATTTGAAATATTGACTTTTGTGTATGTTGGACAGCACAGAATGTTTGACAGTTCAGGATGTCATTTTTTGCTTAACTCAAATCTTTTTTTTTTTTCCTCCAAGTATAATTTATTTATGGCACTTTCCCCCTTTTGTTTTGAAGCACTGTTGTTAAGTATGTGTTTTGATTAGCTTTTCGTTTTTGTGACCAAAAATCTAAAAAAACAATTTTAAAGAAGAAAAGTGTATATGGGGGCTAATGGTTTTGGAGGTCCAAAAGGAGGTCCAAAGGTAGCCAGCTCTATACCTTGGGGAACAAGGTGAAGCAGAATATCATGGCGGAATTTTGTGGCAGATGAAAACAGCTGGGATCATGGCACCTAGGAAGCAGAGACACTTCTCTCACCAAGGACAAAGTCATGCCCCTTAACTCAATCTTATTATTAAGATTGAGTTGGTCAAGACTGACAAGTAGTTTCAGACCATGGTTTTTTGTTTATTAGTCTTTTGTCTGCAGATGTTATGTACAGTAGTACTAAATATTGATTAGGTATATATAGGATTTTTTTCTAAAATCTATTTATTTATTTTATGGTACTGGAAATTGAACCTAGGGGCTTACCACAAAGCTATATCCCTGGGATTTTTATTTTGAGACAGGGTCTTGCTAAATTGCCAAGGCTGGCCTTGAACTTGGTAGTACTCCTGCTTCAGCCTTCTGAGTTACTAGGATTTCAGGTGTTTGCCTCCATGCCCAGCTTATAACATTTTTCTTTCTCTTTTTTTTTTTAAAGAGAGAGAGAGAATTTTTTAATATTTATTTTTTAGTTTTCGGCGGACACAACATCTTTGTTTGTATGTGGTGCTGAGGATCGAACCCGGGCCGCACGCATGYCAGGCGAGCGCGCTACCGTTTKAGCYGCATCCCCAGCCGGAGCTTATAACATTTTTCTGAAGAGCAGTAATACATATAATAAATAGAAGCCTGACTTTTGGAGTACTCCATAGGTCACTAAAAATGATTTCAATCAAACTGTTATGAATTGCATAATTTAGGAAAGTTATGAATCATATGAGCTTAGTCATGATGATAACTAGTTAAAGTTGCAGCMGGGGTGTATAAGTCTCACTTTGATTTCAAAATTGTTTTCCCTTTGAGTTACTTTTAATGAAAGAGGATGTAGTGGGTGGAAGGAAAAAATGTAGGTCACAGATGAAGGATGAACATTTGTATTTGAAACATATATTTGAAACTTGAGGTTATTGGCTTGGTGATTCTCCACATAACAGTACTAATTTCATTAACAGCACCATTTTGCTCAGTATTTTGACATGTGGCTTCCTCTTTTTGTGTTAATTTTGCTTATAAACTGCATTCTTTTGTAACCTAAACACTTAACGATCCTAACTGCTCTGAGGGAAATTAATATAACTATTTTGTGCTAGTCAAAGAGATAAACTAGGATAAAATGAAGAGTCAGCAAAGAGCTGTGATAGGGAAACTGGAGAAATCTTTTTTTGACTTTCACAGAATACTAGATATGTCCTGCAAGGCCAAGTATGGTTGATTTTTTGGATCCTTCATCAGTTTCTATTTGTGAGAGATGTTAAGTTTATATAACTGGAACTGTTAATTTGAAGAAAGCCTGAGAAAAGTTGGTAGGGAAGAAGGGTCAGGGATAAGTTTCACTGGGGTAGGGAAGTGAAATGAAGGACTTTTCATATACTGTAACTCYTAACTTAGTTCTTAAATTAGCCATGGAGTTGGGTACCTCAATACTCCTCCCCCCCTTTTCTTTTCTCCCCTCTTTTTAAATTTTATTCCTGCTGGGAATTGAACCCAAAAGTGCTCTACCACTGAACTACATTTCCATCCCTTTTTATTTTGAGCTAAGAGTCTCACTGAATTGCCAAGGCTGCCCTTAAACTTGGTATACTCTTGCCTTAGCCTCCCAAGCCACCGTGGTTACAAGTGAGTGCCACTATGCCCAGTGGTCAAAAGCTCTTGATGGGGATTAATTACTGGAGGCTGATGAAACTCCATCCTCCTTTACTGGTAAAAACCCATAAAATTACATGTTTAGATCCTAGGTTCTGGGGTTCCTGACCTACTAGAGAGCACTTCTCTCCTTATCCCTTAGATTCAGGAAGGGATTCATCCATGCTTAGGGTTTATTTTACAACCTGTTCAGGCAGCTTCTCTCCTACTCTGTATTTTTGAGAGTGCTAAAGAGCTGGTCTCGTGTCTTCTGCACTGATACTGTAAATACTTCATAGCAGTCCTTTTCCACTTCTGACATCAAGAATAGAAGCATGATACTGATGGTATTATTTTGGGGGGTACTTTTTGTATTTCATACAGTATAGCAGTTAGAGAGTAAGCAGAGTACTACTGTAGGGGTTCTTCATTACACTTGGAGATTGTATTCTAGGAAAATGCAGTTTGCTGCAAAAAAAGAAAACATTAAGGTTCACAAATGTTTCCTTCTATGACAGTTTATTTAAATTGCTCTCAAATACATGGTACAATTATCTATATGTATGTGTATGTGTATAGCTATATATATATATATATATACACACACACACATATTTATGCTTATATTTATATAAGCAAAATTTATACCCTTTTGAGGTTTAAATATTAGTTTTAACTTAATATCAACTTTTTAGTTCAAAGAAAGAAACTAGGCTATACTTTAGGTTATCATACTATGATCAATGACCATAAAAGCTTATCCCAGATACAGAACAACTCAGGTGTAAGAAAAGGATGGAGTTGAAGGTTTATCAAATCTCTTGTAGGCTACTCCACATGTATATTCATAGGGGG